CAAAGTGAAACTTAAAGTTTTATTTGTTGCTCTGATTGTTTTTCATCATTTGCATTCTGGTTCAATCAATCAAAACCCTTTTTTATTCACTTTTTAAGACCAACAGAGATCTCCAAAGGACCAGAAATCCAGAGAAAAACTTGTCTTCTGTCTTTTAACTGTTCGGTGGGTCTGACCTAAACTGTCGTGAGATGGTGGGTTATTTTTCCTCTTTAGGCTTCTGTTCCCTCTCAGTTAATTAACATTTTTTTAAATGTTCATATTTTTCCTCTTTAGGCTTCTGTTCCCTCTCAGTTAATTAAAAATGTTTTAAATGTTCATATTTTTCCTCTTTAGGATCTGTTCCTTCTCCGTTAATAAAAAATATATATATATACTGTTCATGTCTGTTCATTTCAAAGCGAAACTTAAAGTTTTACTTGTTGCTCTGATTGTTTTTCATCATTTGCGCTTAACTGCAAAAAGCTTTTAGTCTACTCTGTGCTTCAGTCAATAAAAAACCCTTTTTTATTCACCTTTTAAGACCAATAAAGATCTCCAGAGGACCAGAAATCCAGAGAAAAACATGGCTCCTGTCTTTTAACTGTGTTTGGTGGGTGTTGACATGGTGTTTGTGAGCCTTCAGCTCAGTTTTTTCTGCTTCTCTGAGTGTTTAACCCTGTAATGCCAAATGTATCATATTTGATCCACACGGTTTCTGAAATGTTTTGCGTCTGACACCTTTTGCATAATTTAATGGTAAAAACTTTGCTCAAAATCCTATTTTACACAATCAGATACACCTGATAACAGGGGGCAGAAGACTACACAAAAAATAATCCTGACTTATCGCATAGTAATAAATGATTAATATAAAAAATGTATTTCTGTTTTTTCTTTATACATATTTTGTTAAAAGGCCAAATAAGGAATTCAAACCAAAAAAAAAGTAATTTTCTGTTTTGTTTTATTCTTGGATCAGGCTTTAAAGGATTCAATGTCTCTATTTGACTCACATCATGTTCCCCTCCCAGCCTTAAGATCATGAGCTGGTTGGGATCCTTAGATTAAACTTACAATCCAAAAAGATAAGAGCAGAAATACGTTATTTCTAATCAAGCGACTGAAATCTAGAAATTTAAACTCGATGAAAATGAGTATTTTACAGACTCATTTAGATACTTTTTGAATAGAGGGTACAATTTGTTGTCATTTTTAAAAGAAATCTGCCTCAGTTTTTGGCAAATGACTGAAACGTGGACTCATCTGAGCAGATTTCTGCTTTTATCCTTTAACCCTGGAACCAGCAGAGGTGTTTAACACCTGGAAATAAGAGCTTTATACCACCTGGGCCCCTAATGGATCTTTTTATTTTTTTAATTTAACGTCCTGTTAGCATTCAGTCCGTTTTAAATGACAGCTTTAAAGAATAAAGCTCCATCTTTCCTCTATGAAATCTGCATTTTTCTTTCCAATTAAACTTCTTGAAGAGGAGAAAGTTCCAATTTCTGTTCTGAATATTTAGAGTAAAACTTTTCTTTTCTGCTCCGTTTTTCAGGTGCTGCTTTTTTCTGAGCCGTTCACCACAGAATCTGTTTTTTTATCAACATTTTTAAAGGCACAAAGTGGCCGATTTAATCTGGTTCTGCTTTGTAGATGCTGAAAGACCAAAGATCTGACTCTGAGAAATATTTTCTGAATTTATAAACGACTCTCTGGTGGAGTTTGGAACAAATTTGATGGCCAGCCTTATGTTAATTCTCCTTTGATACCCTCACCTCTCACTGTAAACTGTTATTAAAACTTGCATTATAACTTGTATTATAATTATTATTTAATTATATTATTATTATTATTATAGACTTCTGCCCTTAGTCTAAGTCTTCTGCCTAAATCTGCTCGTATTTTCAAAAGAGTAGAAAGTTGGTCTCTAAATACACTGAAAATAATTGACTTATTCACATGTTTTACACTGTTTTACACAACTTTTCTGGACATTTTTGCGGGAGTTTTTCTTCTTTTGGGGGCGCAAACTAGCTAAATACTTTTCCATGTGTGTTATTTTAACTGCGTTTGTAAAATCTCTAAAATAAAAGACCCAAACAGGCTTGTAAAAACAGGAAAAATACCTTTTTCACGGTCCATAAGGGGATGGGGGCTCTGTTCCTGGTGTTATCTGCTCACGGATGAGTCATCCGATTAGACAAAGTTACTCATTTCTGCTGACAGAGTCTTTAACAGTTTAACAGTTTATCAGCGGTTACTCAACAGGTGAGATGTTGATAAATTCATCACACATTCATCACAGTGGAACTCTGTTTCTCTGACTCTTCATCAGCCTCAAAGGGCATTCGGTGTATTATGTTTCCTTTTATTTATTTATTTATTTATTTATTTATTCATTTATTTATTTATTCATTTATTCATTTATTTATTTATTTATTTATGTATTTATTTATTTATTTATTTATTTATTTATTTATTTATTTATTTATTCATTTATTCATTCATTTATTTATTTATTTATTTATTTATTTATTCATTTATTTATTTATTTTTTGCATTTTGCTCTCTGTGTGCCACTTTTTTTGCCCTGTAAGCTGCTGGTAACTTTAATTTCCTGAGGGAGTCTTCCCAAGGAATCAATAAAGTACAAGTCTAAGTCTAAGTCTAAGTCTAAGTAAAAAAATCATCTTCAATATTTATGACTGATTTTTTTAGGTATCTTAGAATGGCCAAAAGTATTTTTTAAAGTGATTTTTTTATGTGAGCTGAGCTCTCTCAGCAGCAGTGGAGGTCGGACAGCATGCATTTGCAGCGTTGCTATGGTAACCTGAGCACATATGTGTTTTTCTTTTTGCCTCCTAACAACATGCGCCCCTTCAAGAACAATGAGCATAATAAGTGATCACAAAGAAAAACTCAGACTCTGACAGACTCCGTTTGAAAGCTTTGTGGAAGCTTGTGTTAAGTCTTTGCACTTTTTCCTTTATTTTGTTTATTTATTTATTTTTTGGTGCATAGTTTTGCCTTTAAAAGCACATTTGCAGGGTGAAAAACGTCTGATTCGGGGGAAAAAAGAGGTCAAAATGACTGCCGGTGCTTGAAAAATGGAGGAAAACAGCTAAAAGAAAGTGGAAACCTGGGAATATTTGAGGTGAAACGTTGTTTAATGGCTGTACATACACAGGTTAAAATATATTAGACTGGAGTTCAGGTCCGATCTAATCTGTTCATGGAGGGTTTTAAAAGAAAAAAACGAACAATAAAGTCAAGTCAAGTCAAGTCAAATTTTATTTATAGAGCACATTTAAAATAACCAAAGTTGCCAAAGTGCTGTACAAGTAAAATTAAACATAAAAAGCTCACATAATTTACATACATACATGTAATTGTAATGTAAAATAAAGAGGTAAAAAGGTTTTTAAAAAGGTAAAAAGGTGCTCTTGTTTAAAAGACTAATTTGGTTTTAAAGTGTTTTGCTTTTTGGCTGAATTAAACCGTTGTGCATTTATTAACAGAGCTGCTCACATCTGAGTTTGTTCTGAATAAAAGGGTTAGATCAGATGGTCAGAGGGGGTTTTCTGACTGACCACCAGAGGGAAGAATAATAACAGAAAAAGTCCTCAAAGAAGAGCTTCGGACTCTCAACCCAAATCGGCTGTTTTGGAATCTGTAAATCTAATAATTGTGAATTTATCTGCCCCAAAACCTGTTGTTTCACTATTCACTCACATGAGTTGCTTAATTCTGCAGAAGCAGAGAGGATGAATTGGACTTATTGGTGCCCTCTGCTGCTCCTTTAAGGCAGTGAGCAAAGAAAGTTGGTATTTATTTATTTTATTTTATATTTACTTTAAAAGATTTGTGACCGAAAGCCCAGTTTGATGAGTCACAAAAAAGGTGCTGCCAGTAATTCACTTCAAATCTCAGATCTCTACCTCAAAATTCAGAAATGTGTGTGTATGTGTGTTATTTTTAGTCAAAATAACCTGTCAATGTTTTAAATACCAGACTATGTGCTTATGTGAATATGTGTATATCACAGTAACTACAATATTACATCAGAATGAGAAATCAATACCAGAATGATCTGTCAGTTATTTCTAAATTGATTCATTAACTCATGAACCTATTTAAATAGATGTGCTCTTTGATCTCTCTTTAGAAATGTGAGAGTACTGAGGGGATACAGCTCACAGACACAACAATAGAATCCACTCAGATAGAATGGTTAATAGTTAATTACAGTGATTAATAGGTCATGAAACTCAACTGGTGAAGGGTGCAACGTTTAGGTTAATTTTGGTGCGTGCAGAGAGTGGAACTACATTAAAACAGAATTTAAAAAATACATATAGATCCATAAATAAATAATTTCCCTCTGAGATTATTAAAGTAATTCTGATTCTGATAAATGCAGTTTATGTGGAAAAATGTATATGAGGCGTCTAAAAAAATTGGAAGGATCACAGATTTAGTCAAATTTCATCCAGTTTCTGACCTACTGTGTAATTTTAGCATCTTTGGGCTTTAGTTCTGGTCTTTTTAGCTCTATTTTCTGCTTTTTTGATGCATTTTTGGTCATTTTAACCCTTTGTTTTGTTTTTTTGCTGCATTTTCTTTGTAATTTTAAGTCTTGTTTTTTGTTTTTTAGTTTTTATTTGGTCAGTTTAGCCTTGGTTTTTGTATTATGGTGTATTTTCTTGTCATTTCTTGTCATTTCAAGCATTGTTTGAGCTTTTTCGGTGTACTAAAAGGAAGGAGGACCAATCTCTCCATCAGAGCTGCTGGTGTTCAGTCCACTGTTTTCCTCAAGAATGTTCCTATTGTTTTTTATTTCTTTGGTTAAAAGGTCAGTGTAAAATGGCTTAAAAAACAACAAAAAACAAACTTTTCTAAGAAAATGTGCATAGGAAGGACTGGGGGAACCATTCAAATACATTAGGCGGTGTACAAACAAATAATTGAATAGTCTTACAGAAAGAGAAGTTGGTTAAGATGTATTTTGAAAAAATATTAGGGACACTGTTAGATACAAAATATAGATACAGCTTAAACAGAAAATAGATCTAATCTGGCTGCGAAGCATTTCAAAGTATAGGAGCTAGCTCATCTTTTTTCAATAATCCGATTTACGTAAGTTTTTAAGTTCCGTTTAGGTCCTACTCGTTTTACGTACGCACTTTGCGTAGCCAGTCGTACACACAGAGGCATCATGGCGGACGTGTTGGATCTTCACGAAGCGGGCGGCGAGGACTTTCCTATGGATGAGGATGGTGATGGTATATATATTACTTTTGGGAGTTGTGGCAGAAGCTGTGCGAACCTGTTGCCTAACTGCTCCGTTAAGTTGGAGGTTAAAATCGCAACGGTCGCGGCAGAAAACGCTGCAACGGTCCGGCTGCGTGGTTGAAGGCCCGGCGGGTGCTAGCGGGCTAATGCTAGCAAGCTAATGCTAGCAAGCTAATGCTAAGCTAACACCGTCCGTCCATTCAAACGCGCTGCGGACGTTAGCCGGTTAGCATGGCTGTGGCTACGAATGGCGGTTTAAGAAAAAAAAAAAAGAAAACTTACATACTCCACGAATAATATATCCGTTTGGATGCTTAAAGGTTCACGTAACCTGTAAATATGTTTGTTTAGTGTAATGTAATTTAAATTACACACAAACCGCCGCGTGCACAGTCCAGTCATGTTTACTTGCAACTAGCTAGCACCTAATTTTTGTTAGGTCTAAACTAGCTAGGGGGTGGGTTAATGGCTTTTTCATAGAGCACCAAGTCCTTATTTTACCATTTTCTCCACAGAGAGCATCCATAAGCTGAAAGAAAAGGCCAAGAAAAGAAAAGGACGCGGCTTTGGCTCAGGTCGGTCTCCCTATCCATGCCTTCTATTCTAGTTTAGCTTCGGTTTTAAAATGAAAATACAGCGTTTGAATGATTTCTGTGTGATGGTTTCAGACGAGGGAGCGAGGTCCAGAACCAAGGAGGACTACGATACTGTGGAACAAGACGGGGACGAACCAGGCCCACAGAGATGTAAGTTCAGTCTGGGCTGTGAATTAGCTTGTTTTTGTTTTTAAGACACTGACACAAAAGAAGCATGAAGCATAAGTTATGAAACACGTGTTGCAATAGAGATGATTTTGCTATTGAAACAAGCATCTATTTATTTAGTTGAATCCCTTTATTGTGTAGTTTGGAATGTAACTGCTTTCAGATTAATAAATCTACCACAAAGCAGTTCACCGTTTGCTTTAAATTCAAACTAATGCCTGAGAAGGAGAAGTTTTTGCATCCTCAGTCATTGGATACAGCCTCCTCTGTCTTCCAGGTGTTTTTTTATGAATAAGGAATCCTCTCTGGATCAGTTTCTGGGTCACAGGCAGGAGGATTTTACCTCTTCCATCTGTGGTTTTTGAACAGAGCCCTTACATAGATGGCAAACATATATTTCTACTAGCTTCCTTTCTTGATTCAGTGGTGTCAGACCCTAAAGAGGAGGTTGGGAGAGGGATCTCGGTTTAACTATTGGACCTATTGTCTCTGTGATCTAACCTCAGATAAATGTAAGAAAAAAAATGTAGCACTGCATCCATAACTTCTGTTTCCTTCCAGGTTTCCTTCTTATCAACAGAGAAATGTGTTGAAATGGGCTCCAAACCAAAGAAATGAACCTTATTATATGAAGTGAATGGCTGCTGTTCACTGTTTACCGACAATGATCTAAAAATTGTTTTTTTGAAGCATTGTGAACTAGGGTTGTCAAAAGTATCGATACTAAAACGTTGTAATAGTTAAATAGGTTTGTAGAATAAGTCCAAAATATTTATTTATCACAATTATGAAGGGTGGAGAGTTAGGGTTAGAGTCATTAATGTGGGCCATAATAACAGTAATAGGTAAGTTTGAAACCAGAGACACTAACCAGTCAAAATTCATAAATTTTCTTAAATTTTGGGGTCTTTGTTTTTATACTTGTGGTATCGAGTATCGAATATTTTCCTGAATATCGGTATCGAGTTGAACATTTTAGTATCGTGACAACCCTATTGTGAACTTTTTTAAAGTCTGAGCTTCTGCTATGCTTTTGTTCCCCCCCCAGCTGTGGAGGGCTGGATCCTGTTTGTGACGGGTGTTCATGAAGAGGCCACAGAGGAAGACATCCACGACAAGTTTTCAGAGTTTGGAGAAATCAAAAATCTTCATCTGAACCTCGATCGCAGGACGGGCTACCTGAAGGTGAGACGAGTTCATAAAAGAGCCCCAGTTACTTCAACATAAGAAAACTGTTTATTATTTGATCCTGCTGGTTAACAGTGGGACTTAAAAAGGCCTTCAGTGGTAAAAAAACTGCTGAAATCCAGCATCTTGAAGGCTTTTTCTGAATATTAGAACTGCTGTTTGGAAATGTAAACAGTAATTTACAGTAGTTTTTTTATTATTTGTTTTATTATTGTTCTTTCACAGGAGCGCTTCCTGTGAGATAATGATCTAAGATTAATTGATTAATAGGTGATTCCAAGCGTGTTTCTTAACAAGTGGGAAAAAGTGGAGTTGGTTTAGAAATTAAAACCCATCTGAGGTGTGAAACTTGAAGGCTAAACCCCAAAACTCTGCATATATCTACCAGGAATAAAAAAGTTCCCTTTTTCAGCCACAAGGTGACAGCATAGATCTAGTTATTTAAAAAAAAAAAGGAATATTAGAAACTTAACTCTTTGAAACATTGACTCTGCGCTTTTATTCCAGTTTGTTTGAAGTTGAACAAGATCATTTTGCGGATTTCTTTTTGTAATGTTTTGTAAAGGTCTTGTGTGTATTCCTCCCCAAAAATGAGATTCCCTCTACCAAAAATGTTGCCATAACATTTGTGGAATGCGTTTCATTCTGAGAAATTGTCCTCAGGGTTATGCGCTGGTAGAGTATGAGACCTACAAAGAGGCCCAGGCTGCCATGGAGGGGCTCAACGCTCAGGACATGATGGGCCAGCCAATCAGCGTGGACTGGGCATTCGTCAGAGGGCCTCCCAAGAGCAAGAGACGGTGAGACTCGCGTTTACTAGGGGTGGGACGGTTCACAAAATCCACGGTTCGGTTCGATGCACGGTTTCGTGGTCACGGTTTTCGGTTCGGTTCGGTATGTGTTGATTGTTGAGAAAATCTATTATGTCTTGTATAGTCGGGTTAAAACTGAAAGAAAAAAGCAGTCTGACATTTGATACATTATTGTATTATTGTCTTAGGTTAAAAGTAGGTGAGATTCTGGCATTGAAAGAGAGGAAACAGTGCTAATTCCAACATGTGCTTCCCTCTAAATGCAAAGTGGTCCATACAGCAGAACTATAAACTGCTGTTGGCGTGTCTGATTTTATCGGCTACGCTGCTTTTCTTCTTCTTCTTGTTTCCTACTGGTGGCTGGCTTTGGGCGCAGTAGCGCCCCCTTCTGCTCTGGAGTGTAAACGCTTCCCTCTGAGAAAAAGGAGCAGCATGAACCGAACGCAACACACGCGAACCGAACCGAGACAGAACCCAACGGTTCAGACGGTTTTCAGAATCCATCCCATCCCTAGTGTTTACATCTGTGTGGTTGACCTTTATAGGAGGCTTAGCTGCTCAGTTGTGTGACAAGATGGGAGTTTCTGTACGTTTAAGAAAGCTTCTAAGACAATATGACTGGAAAATGAGCATTCTTGTTTATAGGGTTGTCAAAAGTATCGATACTCAAAAAAGTATTGATACTAAAATGTTGTATCCGGATACGATACTCATTTTCAAAAGTATCGATCTCGAATCTTTCGAACACTTAATTAAACTCTATCCATAATATTATGTTAAATAGGTTTGTAGAATAAGTCCAAACAAGTTTAACCAAAAAATATTTATTTCTCACAATTATGAAGGCTGGAGGGTTAGGGTTAGGGTCAGGGTTAGGGTCATTAATGCGGGCCACCAGTCACAATAACATCAGTAACAGGTCAGTTTGAAACCAAAGACACTAACCTGTCAAAATTCAGTTAAATTTTGGGGTCTTTTTTTAATCCTTGTGGTATCGAAAATGGTATCGAGTATCGAGTATTTTCCTGAGTATCGGTATCGAGTTGAAAATGTCAGTATCGTGACAACCCTACTTGTTTATTTTGAACAACACAAAACAATGCATGGGCACTTAAAAACTGTGAGAAAATGGTGATTTGAGTCTCTACTTGCGTCAATTCTTCCAAGAAACACCAGATTTCATCAAATTAGTGTCACATATTTTTGCCCGAGGGGTTTTTCTAGGCTCGCTTCTCAAATTGAATTGAGTATTTCTCTTTAATTTCAAGCTATGCAAACTATTTTGGGATAAAAATTCAACCTCACACTGAGAATTCCTCACAGTGCGTCATTGTTTTTGTCCCGGAACGTCGCTCTCCTCCGGGCTTTTAGTTTTTTCCCTGCTTTAACACAGCTAGTTTTATATTGAAAAGCCTCTTTTAAAGATGAAGTTCTTCTCAGGGATTTGTGTGGAAGCAGACGTAAGAAAGCTACAGGACTGGAGTTGAGTTCTCTGGTTTTAAAGGGACCAAGGATTTGGCAAACTATATATATTTTTTGTTTTAATCATATAAACCCCTTTGAAGATATACTGCATTGGACAAGAATCTAAAAAGAAAAACAAATCAATGTGTTTTTTGCCCCTGATACATTTTCTATTGGGTCTACTCTGTTTTGTGGTGGTTGAAGTAGGTTTTGTGAGCCTTTACCTAAGATTGTGTGTCTATATCTCTATATGTAACACAGCTGGTGTAACATCCAGGTACCCTATTTTCTGCACATTCAGTGAACGACCTATTTCAGATTTTTTCCCATATATAGGGCGCACTGCATTATAAGGCGTATAGAATAAAAGCTCCATAGAGGCTGGAGCTGTTAGCATCCACCAGATGCAGCTAAGCTAAAGGGAACGCAAACAAAAACAGTCAGATAAGTCAGTTAAACTTTATTAACAGAACACAAACCAGCCTTCTGATGACTCCGTTCACTCCCAAAATTGTTTTTCCAGCTAATCTCAGTGACGTAGTGTTTTCGTGACACAGTTAATCTTATAACAACAACAACAATGTATAACAGGTAGAACCGCATTTTTATCAGGCAGTGGAGGGGAACTTTTCCCTCCATTCAGTAAACACGAAAAATAAAACAGTCTGATTCCGTTACGGTGAATCAAATGTTAGCCAATCATAATATATAGCTGCTAGCATAAAGCTAACAAGCTTTTCTCGTCAAAAAACAAACAAAAACGCCGGTATAGAAATATTTGAACTACCTGTTGACATAGTTAGGATCAGATTCAACGTTTACCTTTTATTGTCAACATTTTTTTAACAGCCGCCTTCTCTTACTGTGTCAACATTTAAAGATATGTAAATTGTGCAGTACTGCGGATTCTCCAGAAGGTGGCGCCTCTATTACTTCTTCTTCTGCTGGAGAAAATGGAGTTGGCGGCTGCTTCCTGACCTGTCATGACTCAGTCCTGATCAATATATAGGATGCATTGTCGGTTTTTGAGAAAATTGAGGGCTTTCATGTGCCTTATAGTGCGGAAAATACTTCACTTTGGGCTTTTATTTTTTAAAATGTCTTTATAGAACTAATGCAGAGACATGACCGGTGGTGTTTCTTTAATTTTTTAGCATTTTATCTGATGGATCCTGTATTTATCGAGCCTTCAGCTCCCTGTCTCTCTCTGCTTAACTTCTTAACTAAGTATATATATACATTTTTTATTTATTTGTTTATTTGACAGGGACAGTACAATTAAACATTGCAACCAAACAGGGGGCCGATGTCCAAGTACATAAGGCTTGTAGCCATGGGCTAATTTGCAGCCTTCGTCCCTGGTTAGGCTTTTAAAGGGTGTTAGCATTAAGGGGGAGGGACAACACACAGATGCATAAGAAACAAGAGCAGTTAAAAAATGTTTAAAAAAAATCCATAACTAAGCTCTTAGCGCTTACTTATAGAAAACATATTTATTGTACAGGAATATGGTCTTAGCTCTGTTACATTTGTAGCCAAGTAATCCACATTTTGTTGTCAAGATTCACCTTGTGTTTTTTGTGCAATGACAATAAAGGAAGTCGTAAGTCTCTAAGTCAGTGTTTTTCAACCACTGTGCCTCGGTACACTAGTGTGCTGTTAGTGATGGTCAGGTGTGCCGTAGAAAATCATCCTATTTCACCTAATTGGTCTAAAAAGATTTTTTGATAAGGAATTAATTATCCTCAAATAATTTTTGAGTGTCTGTGCTGTACAAGTGACTGGTGGCGTAATCATGTAATAATTCCTTATGACTAGATTTTGTTTATAATTTTGTATATTGAAGTGGACACGTTAAAAGCAATTTGAAAGAAGAAATATAAAATATGATACATTTTTGTGTTTACTTGATTCCTATTCAAGACACTTAAGATGAGATAAGAATAACTATAGTGTTACTATAGGCGGCTACAGATTTGTTTGACATTTTTGGTTGGTGGTGTGCCTCGGGATTTTTTCAATGAAAAAAAGTTACCTTGGGTCAAAAGAGGTTGAGAAACACTGCTCTAAGTCTTGTTTTGTTGTCCCAGGGCTGGAGGGCGGAGACGCAGCAGGAGTCCAGACCGGAGACGGCGCTGAGTCACCCAGAGGCCGTTTGTCACCTGTCTGAGGAAGCTGGCCGCGGAATCTTTGTACGATTTTTTTCCGAGTAACAGTTCTGCCGCCGCGTTTCTAATAATAAATTGGTTAAACAGCAGCGTTTGCATTTTATTGTAATTTCCCCGTGCTGGTTTCCTTCAAACAGGACGACATGTGAATCTCTCATTTCTGGATCTTTGTGTTACTTTTAACAAGTCTGGCTTTGTAGTTGGTTTGATTTTCTCAAAATGTTTGATGTCAAGCGCATTTAATTCTGATGGAGTGTTCTTTCTTTTTTTTTACAACCTGGAAAACATTAAAGATTTTAAATGGTTCATTTGTGCCCTGTTGTGTTTTCTTTTCTTTTTTCTTTTTTTAAAAGCACCGATGATGACGTAGAGTTTGCATCATCCTGGATGATCTCATCCAGTCAACAGTGACGCCTAAACTATTTGATTTAATCGACCTTAAAGCATCCTAAAAGCGTCGCTCATTGGCTGTCCGGGCGGAACCCCCGGCACCTTTTTATTATACCAACCAATCAGCGAGCGGCGTTTTTACTCCATGCTGCTCCCATTTGGCCTGCGCTGCCCACTGAAACGTCACTCAAAGAATTCGAAGGCGCTGATTGGCCGCCGTCCACGTCCGTCAACGGCCCTCCGCTCTGTGATTGGACGAACCGTCACCGGGGGCGGGGCCTAACCCTCGCTTGACGTTGTTGTTGTAATTGGTGGAGAAATTACTTTGTCGGCGGCGGTCCGGATTGGGATTTTACGCGTAGTTTCGCCGCTGGAGATGTAAAAAAAGTTAGAAAGCGTCGATCTCGGGAACGTATACGACAACTAGGAGTCGGTACTGGTGGAAAAACTGAGCGGGACGATGAAAAACAACCCGCGAGGCCGTTGAAGGTAAGCAGTAAAAGGATACTCACAGCCACAACCGTTAGCTAGCGTTAGCTTCTGATTAGCCGGGCTTGGAGGAGCCATTAGCTAGCTAAACCTAACGGTTCTGTCCGGTAACTGAAAATAAACGTTACTTCCTCGCGGCGAGCGCTCGTGCACGTACACGGTTAGCCGTAAAAAGACGGGTCTCGCTTTTCTGATGCGGGGAACTAAAGTTAAGGGGGGTTTTTCTGTGTGTGGACGGTGCACCAGCCCCTGTCTTTGAACGCCTCAAAGCGTTTATGTAAGCATGTGTATTGTTCGTTGATAATTCAAAAGAGTGGTCAGAGCCTAAATGGCCGGTTCAAAGGCGACATTCAGGCTCAACGTCGGAGGCTGATCTTCATTTATTGACCGGATAATGAACATTAGCCATCATAAGATCTCAACAATGACAGCTTAAAGGCAGGAAAACACGTGTGTGTGTGTCTCTCTCTCTCTCTGTGTGTCTCTCTGTGTGTGTGTGTGTGTGTGTGTGTGTGTGTCCACACACTGTGACACGCAGAAAATAACTCCCACGGAAGAGACGGGCTCTTGTATTTAAGGTGCTACTGTGATGTAACGTTTATTTAAAGCTCCAGCTCAGCGGGAAATTACCAGAAGTGAGCTGTTTACACTCACTCACGTGGATCCCCTTACCCCCCCCCCCCCCCCTGGACTCACAACCCAACAGGCGTCTCCCAAGGGTGTCCAGTCCCCCCCAAAGTCCTCCCACATGTGAGGCACATCAGGACTTATTTGCCATCATTTTCCACCCGGGGCCGGAGAGGATTCAGTTACACCTCGGTGTGAATTATTCAGGACTCTTTTGTTGGCTCTCTCGGGGCTGGCGTTTTTTTAAAAACACAAGAACTGGGACGCTGCTATATGTTTTCTTTTTGCCGCACAGCCTGGAGGGGGGAACAACGCTTATGTAGATAAAGAAGCAGCCGGTAGACGCATGTACTGGCCGGCTGCTTTTCAACAAGGAGGGAGAGAAATAAGAGAGATAAATCGACCCATCTGGAACCCTTCTTGCCCCTTTCAGTGGCCGGTGCCTGGAATATAGGACAGAAACAAAAAGAAGGGGGCTATAAATGTCCTATACCTCTCATTTCAGGTGTACATGCAGACAGAAGAGGAAAAAAAACCCACAAACTGATTGTTATTTCCTCATTTGCTCGCTGACCCGTTGCCGTTTGACTTTTTCTTTGAGGCGTTTTGAATATTTTTGATCCCCATGTAAATTCTGTGGCTCAGAACTAGCCGCGTATCGGGCTGAAAAATCTCCACCGGTATTGAAATGAGAGAGAAATTAACACGTGGAGGGGAAATGTTTGTCTCAGGCTTGAAATGTTGAGGCCTCGTTTGAACAGTTTGAACAGTGACTCACCGTAATAAATAAACTAGTGTCGGTTTTCGTATCTGGTGTCACAAAGCTGAACAGTTTGGTGTCCTTTTTTATTGAGGATTTCGATGCACGTCCTCATATCTGCTGCTTTTACATCCAAAATGTGCGTCAAAGACTTTTCCAAAGTTGTCTGTTGTGTTCCACGAGTCGGCCGGCCTCCTTCAGGGAATTAAAATGTACATTTTTGCGTTTTCGTCTGGCTCCCCGACAGCTGCTCTCTGCCTGTCTGAGTCACGGATACTGTGTCGCTTCCAGAGTGGAGCTGCTCCCACGGGATTCCTGAAACATGGTGCGATTAATAAGTAAACGGACGAGAGCTTCTCGAGGTTAGTGGGGCAAGCGTTTGACTCCGGTGTCAGAGCCTGTTCGTGCTTATCCCCCAGTTAAAGGGGAAATATCATGCAAAACCCAGTTTTTAATCATTTGATTATGTACATTTGGGACTGTGGAGGACCTATCAGCAGGGAAAGTGTGAAAAAAAAAGGACTCAGTCATGTTTTTGTGGGCGGCCTCAGTCTGAATCCAGGAGATAAATCAGGAGGTTTCAGGAGTGGGTAGTTTCTGACGTCATTAGCTCTAGCTCATTATAATATTCCAGCCTTTCACCTGCATGTTTATTTGTTTATTTATTATTAGGATCTCCATTAGCTGTGCTTTACACCCAGTTACTCTTCCTGGGGTCCGCATCATTAAGAATACAGTGTACAATGTAAATTCATTCATGTTTGACAGATGACAAATTTCAAATAAATATCAATAAGACTGAACATTCATAGAAAAGGGGAAAGTTACAATTGAAAATTCTAACATTTTATGAATAAGTTACAATCAATTAGAATATGAAACTATTTCATTTATAGATAAATTGCTCCTAAAAACTTTTTAAGTTGCATTTTAAAAGCAGATTTATGTACAATTTTTATGAAAATTAATGGCAATGAGTTCCATTCTTGCATTGCTCTGTAAGTAAAGGTGCGTTTGAAAAAATTAGTTTACAAATGGTCAGGAGATCCAAATGGTCTTTCACCTGCATGTTGACCCCCCCTCAGCTTTCTCCCCTATCTGTGGAAGACGTCGTGGTAGCGTGAGCGTTAGCATGGTAGCGTTAGCATGGTAGCGTTAGCGTGGTAGCGTTAGCGTGGTAGCGTTAGCATGGTAGCGTTAGCATGGTAGCATTAGCATGGTAGCGTTAGCGTGCCGACGTGGGCACACCTCCCTGAAGAAGTGGGCGGATTGCCTGTGTCTCATTTGCATTTAAAGAGACAGGCACTCCAAAGCGAGCGCTCTGAACGGGGCTGTTTTGGGTTAGGGTTAGGGTTAGGGTTAGGGTTAGGGTTAGGCAGGGGGACTGAACTGCTATTGGGCTTCATCCTGATGGGATTTTGACCAAAGCTTGTCACAGACATTACATTAGGACATCAGGGAACTAATTTAACTTTTTGAAATAGGGTACAATATGTCTCCTTTAAGATAATCTCCCTAAAAAAAGGGCCACAGGAGGAGCCAGAAATGTGGGCTTTTATCTGAGAACACCATCCAGACAGGAGTGCTGCAGAGGGGAAGGCGATCAATAGGCGGCTTGTCTCTGTCCAGACGGAGACTTTGCAGACCCTCCGGAGCCCCCCACCCCCCCCAGTTCTGTGACACAGCATTTAGCCCTCTGTGTCTGTCGGATATCAGACTCCTCCCACGTCCAAGTCGGCCATTTTTATTAGATCATGTGACTAGAAGCTTTCTGAGGTGGAAACGAGACTTTACTGTCTATACGAAATCAGAAGATAAACAACGTCCTAATCCTAACCCTAACCCTGAGACCTTGACCCTGACCCTAATCCTAAACCTGACAACCTAAACCTGACCCTAACCCTAACCCTGACCCTCCAGCCTTCATAATTGTGATAAATAAATATTTTCTGGTTAAACTTGTTTGGATTTATTGTACAAACCTATTTAACATCCACTATTTTAACATAATATTATGGATAGAGTTTAATTCAGTGTTTGCAAGATTCATTCCACTATTTTTAAATGAATGTCTATATTGCCATGAAGCAATTAGGATTTTCTTGCCTGGGATCTTCCTATAGGTGACCTAATCAAAATGGCCGATTTGGATGTGAACAGAGTTGGATATCCATCCTTGGCTTCCTGCAGTCTGCAGACAGACGGTCCGGGGCCGTTTGGGAGCCGCGTAACAGTGGTTTCGGTAACCAGAGCTGGCCGTATCGCTTCCCTTCTGCCGGCCATCTTCCATTTCATTGTCATTTCACTTACTGATTTCTGTCGACAACCAAAAACCGGCCCGTCGGGGTCGTTAGTAGGCTCGTCCCGATCCGATATTTACCAAAAGCTGCGTATCGGCCGGCAGGAGAAAATCCAGATCCAGACTCCAGATCCAGTTTTTTTTTAAAAGTCCGACCCCACACGAGCATTAGCATTAGCATTAGCATCTGTAACCCACCGGTCTGTGTCCTAACCATTAGGTTTGTCACAATACTAAAATGTTCAACTGGATATCGATACTCAGGTAAACATTCGATACTCGATACCATTTTCGATACCACTAGGATAAAAACAAAAACCCCGAAATGTAACTGAATTTTAACAGGTTAGTGTCTTTGGTTTCAAACTGACCTGTTACTGATGTTATGGTGGCCAGTGGCCAACAATAATGACCCTAACCCTAAGTCCGATCCCACATAAGCATTAGCATTAGCATTTCCTAACCCACAGGCTAGGACAGCTTTTTCCCCGATCCTGGCCTATCAGAGCATGTGTTAAAGTTTAAAGTTATTTATCTACTTACTTAGTTGTCAGACTCATGTTGAACAGGGATTTACTCTGATAACAACTTAATGGTTAGAACACAGACCTGTGGGTTACAGATGCTAATGCTAATGCTCGTTTGGGATCGGACTTTAAAAATAAAAAACTGGATCTGGAGTCTGGATCTGCTTTTTCTCCTGCCGGCCGATCTGATCCAGATATCGGATCGGGACAAGC